TGCGAGAAATCAATCAGCGCCAACTCTTGAGTAGCCATTTGAATTTGTATTTCTTCTTGATCAGCCAAAGCTCCCCCCTGAACTACTGTCAAGAGCTCTTCTGTCTCAGCTTCCATTACTTCTTTCTTTCTTTTGCCTTCTGGTGATTTAGTTGATTTGGGTGTGCCAGCCTTTAATACATTAGTATGAAAGTCTCTTGCTTTCCAAATTGTGTTAAGCCGATATCTCTCTCCTGAATAAGTCACCACTAGTCCAGTTGGCACCTCCCATCTGTACTGTATCTGACGTTTTCTCAGTTCATCCACCAGAAAGGCATACTCCCTTCTAGCTCTCAAGATCTTAGGGGGGATTTCTTTCATTGTCATTACTTCCTGGCCTTCCACCCGAAGCTTGTTTTTAAAAGTAGCCTGTAAAATTTCGTTGCGTACTCTCCTTGTAGTAAAATATATCACAATGTCTCTTGGTAGATGTTTCTGTCTAGCAATCCAGGAGTTAACACGGTACAGCTTGTCCATTTGCCAGCCCAGATCATTTTTGGACTCCCCCACCAGCGGTGCCAATGCCTCAGACATCATTTCTCTCAAATTCTCTTGTTTATTCTCCTTCACCCCTCTAAATCTTAAAGCAAATTCCATATCTCTGTATTGTACCATTATTACATCGTCTTCAGCCCTTTGAATTCTGTTTTGAGCTTCTCCTATTTTGCTATCCAAAATTTCAGAAGATTGTTTAATTTCCTCAACTCTGTCATCCACCATCTCAATATTGCTTGCCAGACACTTAAATGCCATTAATATATCATCCCTAATCCCCTGATTGCGAATTGCAATCTCATCTGACACAGCCTGTATCTTTTCATTAGTTTCCTTAATTTTTTCATTAGTTTCCTTAATTTTTTCATCAATCACATCAACAATTTTATTTTGGGTGATTTGGAGAGCTTGTTGCAACATTTCCAACATTAAAGTCTGTGGATCCGCTGGAGGAGCAGAAACTTGTGATCTAGGAATATGAGCTGGGGAGCTACCAGCACTCCCAGTTCCTTTAGTAGGAATAGTTTTTACAGACTTTGAGGCCATTTCCAGTTTGAAATTAGTCTTTATATTTAATCAGAGTCAAAAAGAAGAGTTCCTCAAAAGATTTCCCAATGTTAACTAACGTTTAAAATCCTCCTTCTGTCAGCACAAAAGCTTTTTTTTTTCCCCAAGCGAAGGGCTGCCAGCAAAACGAAACTTTTCCTGTAACTTTCCGTTTCCCCCGCCCTTTCAAGCTTCAATCGCCATATTGTTGCAAAGTACTAAGTGATTACTTCCGAAGGAGGCTCTAGGCATTGGAGTTAGGTAAAAAATACTTGCAGTCTGATTTCTCCTTGCTCGTTCCGCCTGCTGTTAGTTCAAGATGTTAATTCCCTCATTTCCATTCAGCAAGATTGGTCGCGGCTTTTAATTCCGCTAATTAGCTAGTTAGCGGAGACGTCCCTGGTCTGGAGCGGCTTGACAGGCTTTTAGGGAACGCGCACCCTTCGCGCCCCAGGATTTTTCCTAGGGCGTTCGGGGGGGTTCTACCTCCACCTGCCTGCTCTTCTCTCTCCCCTTTGCCCGGGGAGAGAATTTCAAGCCTCCAGACAGCGTTTGTTGGCTGTTCTGGGGCTTTAACGGAGCCAGGGAGCAGACGCTCTCAAAAGAACGTCTTTCAAAGCTCGCGGAGCCAGCGGAAGCCTCAGATTAATTGTGAACATTACAGAGCTCTCTAATCAAACAAAGGGTCAATGGCTGGAACAACTGTAAAATTAATATATAATGCCTAGTTTGTTTTCTATTAGCAAAAATGTTGAACATCAAGATAAAAGTAACAACATACATTTGTCTCATCTGTCTAGCCTTTAAATAAAAGATATGATTGAAAAAATTGGGTTAATGAAATCCACTCATATTCAATGCTCACTTCAAAAGTTATTTTTAGTAGTATGCCAAATTATTTAACTGCTTTTTTGAAGGGACTGTAATTTAGCCAACATTTTACTATTCTTCCCACTTTTTTCCCTTTGTGTACAAGGAGAATATTATTGACCAAAAAATTATAGGCCTATATCACTTTTAAATACAGATTACAAGATTTTTGCTAAAATACTAGCAAATAGGTTAATGATAGTAATGCAACAAATGATTCATAAGGATCAAACTGGTTTTATAAATGGTAGACAAATGAAGAGCAATGTAAGGCAAGTTGTTAACTTATTAGAGTATTTGGGGAAGAACAACCAAATCCCTGCGGTGCTAATATTTCTTGATGCGGAGAAAGCATATGATCGATTGAATTGGCATTTCTTATTGAAAATAATAGAAAAATGCAGTTTGGAGAATATTTTACACAATCTATTAAGGCAATATATCAGAAACAAACAGCGCAAATAATAATTAATGGTAGTTTAACAGATACTTTTAATATAGAAAAAGGAACAAGACAAGGATGTCCCTTGTCTCCATTATTGTTTATCTTGACTTTGGAATTTTTGTTGAGTAAAATACGTGGGTCAGATAAAATAAGTGGAATTAAAATTAGGCAGTATGACTACAGATTAAGAGCATTTGCAGACGACGTGGTTGTTACTTTAACCCAACCATTACAGTCGGTTGTAGGTTTAATGGATATAATTAATCAATATGGACAAGTATCTGGATTTAAAATAAATGCAGGGAAAATGAAGATAATAACTAAAAACATGACTACAAATCAAAAAGATGAATTAGAAAGACTAACAGGATTTGAAATAGTAAAAAAAGTTAAGTATTTAGGGGTTTATATCATGACATCAAATGCAAAATTATTTAAGCATAATTATGATCTGTTGTGGCAAAAAATACAGAGAGAGTTGAAAAATTGGAAAAAATTACAATTATCTTTGTTGGGAAGAATAGCAGCAGTAAAAATGAATGTTTTGCCTAAGTTTTTATTTCTTTTTCAAATGATACCAATACTTTAAAAAGATGAAAATTTGAAGATATGGCAGCAGGGTATTAATAATTTTGTTTGGGCAGGAAAGAGACCGAGAATAAAGCAAAAAATAATGCAAGATATACGTGAAAGAGGAGGTCTCAAAATGCCCAATTTAAGATTATATTATGAGGCAACTGCTCTATCAGCAATTAGTGACTGGATGAATTCAACAGAAGAAAGAATATTGAATATTGAGGGATATGATTTGGTCTATGGTTGGCATGCTTATTTATTATATGATAAGAAAGTGGATAAGACTTTTAAAAGTCACATATTAAGGAATGCTTTATTGTGTGTCTGGAAAAAGTATCAGTATAAATTAAACGATAAGTTACCAATGTGGGCAATACCCAGACACGCGATAGAGAATATAAGTGTAGAGCAAAAACAAGATGTGACTACTTATAAGGAGCTTCTTAATAAGGAAAGAGATATACTACAACTGAAATCTGTGAATCAATTAAGAGAAGAAAGGATAATTCAAACATGGTTTCAGTATGGACAGTTGCAAGCTAGATAGAGAGAAGATCAGAAAGTTGGTATCTTGCAAAATGAGGAGAACTTGGTAAAACAAATTAGAGACCAAAGTCAAATGCATATTAAAAAGTTGTATAATGCTTTAGTAGAAATAGATTCAGAAACAGGATGTCAGCGTTCCAATTTATGATTTTCCCCAGCGCTGACATGAATGAGAGAAAGAGAAGCCTTGCTTTAATGCTGAGATGAACTTTCACTTAGTTTCCTGCTCCTTGGTAGATAACGTTACTTAGGTGATAGAGGGAAGGGGGAATTCCTGTGACTGGAAAGGGCTTGGGACGGAGAGATGGATCTGCACGATGGCCAATGAGACATTGGGGAATAAAGAGCGGAAAGGGAGGGGTTTGGAAGGAGATGCCAGTTCTGGCTGCACAAGAGTTCAGGAATGACGTAGTTGATTCTTAAATAAAGAAAAGTTTCATCAAAGACTTTGCGTTTGAGAATGAAGTTTATTTGAGATAACATTGAATCCTGACACAGAGCTAGTTAAGGACTGTATGATAAAATAGGCACAGGATATTGAGGAACCAATAATGATGGAAACGTGAGAAAAAATATGGGTTAGAAATGTAAAGTTTACACAAACCCAAAACTTAAGAGAGAATTTTTATAAAATGTTTTATAGATGGCATCTATATCCTAAAAAGCTAGCCTGTATGTATCCAAGTTTGCAACCTAAGTGTTGGAGATGCGAATGTAATGATACTACGTATTATCATATATGGTGGACATGTAAAATAATTAAGGCATTTTGGATAAAAATATGGTGGATTATCCAAAACATTCTCAAGAAGAAGATAAAATTTACTCCACAGTTCTTTCTGTTGGGTATAATTACAGATTGTACGGATATAGAGACTAAACTGATTTTAAACTTAATAACAGCAGCCAGACTTCTGGTGGCGCAGTATTGGAAGAAGGAAGACTTACCTACTATTGAAGAATGGACGTTAAAAGTAGTGAATTTAGCAGAGATGGCAAAAATTTCAGCATACTTGAAGGACCATTCAAATGAAAGATATATATCGGAATGGAGAAGATGGATTGACTATATTCAAAACAAATATCGGACTAAAAAGTTTCAAACAGCCTATGAATGAAACCAAAATTTTCTTTTTGAATTATGTTTTGTTAGAAGAAAGGGGAGTTAAAGAGCAAGAGGGAGTTTGGACTTTACAGAAGGTTAGCATATTTTAGTTTATGTTTGTTAAATATTATACCCTATATTTGCTCTGGGAAGTCCAGGGTGGGTGGTGGGTGGAAGGGAGTTGGAGGGAAAGGGGGGATGAGGGATGGGGGGGGGGGAGAGGGGAGGGGGGGGTAGGGGGAGGAGGGATGGGGGAGATGGGATGGGAAAAATTGTTGTAATACTTGATAAAACTTTTTAATAATAAAAAAAAGAGAATATTATTGACCTACAATGGCTTTTTACCCCAGCTCTCCCATTCCTGCAGTTTATTTTTCACCTTAATATAGTCCAAGGCTGTGATTTGAGAAGCTATTGCAAGGTTCAAACGAGTCTCCAAATTCTGGAAAACAAAGTCATTTCAGTAAGTATTCCATATAGAATGAAAATCAAAAGCAAAGTAGAACTATTGTTGAATAGACAAGGAAAGCTGTAAAGCAGTGGAGTGAACAATTCTAAAAATACACCCATATTTAGGCAAATATCGGAAGAAAATTCAAAAATAGAAATAGTTGAAATAAGTTTAAATAAATAGAAATAAGTGTCAGTTTCTTAGAAAACATTTTTCAACTGAAGCAGAAGACAAAATTATATAAATAATTATGCTTTTATATCCCTACCTTAAATTCTGCCTGATAGAGCCCACCTCTTTCCCACATTTTGCTCCCTTCCTCCCCATCTTGGTCAAATGGATTTTAACTGAATTTTAAATTTATTATCTTTATTGTTTTAATGTTTTATATTGAATAAAACTGCCATCTCAGCAAGATGGGTGGCATAGAAGTTTAATAAATAAATGTCTAAAGACTACCATGAGAAAACTGGTTAAAATAACATGCATTTTTGGAAAAGATTTTCTGAAAACTAAATTCTCTTCTACTTATACTGGTCACTTAAGAAGCCCCAAGAATAAGCAAGTGAAAAAGCAAACACCCCACTTTTTTGTAGAACAAAAGTCCCTGCTGATGCTTCAAATCAATCAATGTCACACTTAACAAAGGAAGGCAACAGATTAGTGAGGTCTAGTGGATCTGGAGCCTTGATATAGGGGGAGGTCCAAGACTCTGACACTATACTGTGAATTCCAAGAATTATACATTCCTTGAATAAAATCATCCTGAGGCCAAAGACAATTTCATGCATAGGTTTGGAAGTTTCCCAATTTCCCAATCATATTGCATCTTAAAAGCAATCATCTTAAAATCAATCTTAAAATTGATCTTATCTACATCTACATCTTAAAATCAGTCTGAACAGCAACTGGAATGGTATCTAATGTGAGGTAAAAGGTAAAGGTTTCCCTGTCAGTCATGTCTGATGGTGCTCATCTTCTTGGCTGAGGGAGCCAGTGCTGTCTGAAGACCATTTCCATGTGGCCAGCATAGCTATATGCCAGAAGCCCACAGAACGCTGTTATCTTCTCATCAAAGTGGTATCTATTTATCTACTCACATTTGCATGGTTTAGAATTGCAACCTTATTGCATGGAGCTCAGGTCTCAAACTCAGGCTGCCAGTTCTCCAGCTGACAAGTTCAGTGTCTTTAATCACTGAGCCATCATGCCCCAAGCTAATATGAGGATACATTGCAATACTGATATAAGCATTTCATATACAGACAGGAACCAGCAACCCAACCACAGATTCTTATGAATACAAAGGGCAGAAAATGCAGACCTTTGACATGATTTGTTAACAATACCAATGGATACAGTGATCCCAACCACCATTTACCATTTGTTCAAACTGATTGTTGAAGTCAGACTGCAGGAAATCTCTCATTTCACTGAGAATGCAGATTACATGAGCCACACGAACCTCTTCTATCTCTGGCAAAGATACTTCAACTACTGAGGCTCCTAAGTCCGCTAGGAACTCCACTGCTGAACATACAGCGATAGCAGGAAGAAGAAGAAAAATAAACTTCACTTTTAAATAAATCTTGAGAGGCCAGGATTCTAAATTCACATTTTAAAACAATCTTTGTGCTATAATCCAATCCAGATCCACTTTTATGAAGCCATTATATTGTACTTTGATATCAACAATGATGCAAAAATGTAAAAATATAGAAAATTCCATACAACTCCTCACTGACCATCCTAAAACTGTCCAAACAGAACACATCCAAGCACAACGCACACTTGCAAAATCATGCTTCTGGTTCCCTTAATCCATCCTTTGCAACTTAATTAGCTTTCTTCCACGAATATAAAATATATACATGATACCCTACTGGATGATGCTAGCAATTCATGGCATCAGTTTATATATACTCAATGAATTTCTGTTTGCTAAGAAGAGGTCTATGTTTGTTGTAGTTCATGGATGACTGGTCCATAGTGTTGGCAAGACGTAAACCTGTAAATTAGAAGTCTCCAATCTTTCCCATAAATATGGAAAATCCATGACCACAGCCTCTTGAACTGTTTAAATTAATCAAAGTTGCTTTTGCTCTACAAGGAAAAGATTCCAAAACCAAATTTGATCTGGAGGATCATTGCAATGGGAATGGAGGCTTATTAACATACCAAAACGTAGCTGTCCTGGCTGCATTTCATTTCAAAAAAGAATAGGAAATTCCAATCACTTCACCTTTGATGCAGCACGTATTTTCTTCCTGCAACCTGAACTCACTGGGCTACTTTCAGTGTGCTATCATCCCAGCCTCCTTTCCACTCACCTGTATTAATGATCTTTTTTTTATTGTGATAAATAATTAATAGTGAAAGATCAAAATATGCACATATTTTTCTTTACATTACATTTTCTCAGGAACACAGTACAGCTTCTGAAACACTTTCACTCCTCAAACAGTCATGCAGTGATTTGGAAATTGCAAGGCAGTTTTGATCTTCAAGATATATAAGCAAGAGATACTAAGCAGGCCAGGATACAACACCGATCAGCAAAAAATAATGATCACTTGCATGTTACCTTTTTGGCAGACAGCTAAGATTTCAGTATCACATGCCTTGCAGATAAGACAAAACAAAATGTAGTTAGTGTCTTTTCTAATTTTTCCAGAATCATTGCAAAACACTCACTACCTCCCATGTTTTTCACCATTTCACATAATCATGACACAACTCTCTGTTCTATTGCAAACATGTCTTAAAACTGATATAAGGATCAAAGTTTGCCCCTAAAATATTGATTGACCATGTATAAAATGTTAATGCAGAAGAAATAGAAAGACAAACAGGTACCTTAAAGAAACTCCAATCAATTCCCAATTTTAAACCATTCAGATCAGTGTTGATGTTTTCTGAGAAGGATGGTTCAGGTTGGTGCAATCCTGTAATGGGTTTAAAGAAGTAAGAATAGACACAGACATTTCATATAATTTTTTTAAAAAACTCCTTCCTTGTGTTTCAAGTGAGTAAGTAGCAATACGCACCATAGGGATACTGTAAATCTGACCCAGCCAAGGTAGCATAAGCAATAGCAGCATCTGCAACTGAAGTGCAGAGAGGGCCTGGCAAAATTTTAAAAAACAGGTTATTCACTTTTCTAGTGGTCCTATACTTTCCAATCATTTCTGAATTTAAGATAACTTTATAGCCCCTTAGATTGTGGGAGAAAGCAGAATAACTGTTAAAACATTGCTGCCTGTTTTGGAATGTGAAATAAGGGAGTATTCTACCAGGTAATTTACTGTGGAGGATATTTCTGATGTGGTGCAATGGCAACATCCAAGAATAATTCTTCCTTTTGCCAATAACAGTAATAAAAATCAAATAGGATTTCTTTTCAAATAATTAGTGTGGCACTTCATTCTTTACCATCTTCAAACTTTACTATTTCAATAATGCAGTAAACTGCTCTTTTGAAAGGGTTCTAAGCATACCTTACATCTCAATTTTCTTTTATCAGCTATCAAACACGCAGGCAGTTTCCAAAGATTACATGCAATCCTCCACATGTGTCCCCTCACATAATGATAAAAACATATTATTGTTATGGAAGATAAATAGATAAAGTATGTGATTGGAAGGAAGGAAAGCACTAGCTTTTATTTTTTTTCCTAGGAAGGAAAAATGAAGCATCTTGGAAAAGACATACCAGGACCTACTGTAAAAGTTTTACGTTGCCTATCATGCATTCATTCCAGGGGTGAAATCTAAAATTTTTTGCTACCGGTTCTATGGGCGTGGCTTAATTAGTGGGCGTGGCTTTGGTGGTAAGGTGACTGGGAGGGCGTGGCTTGGTGGTCAGGTGGGCACAGCCAAGTCAATGTTACTTCTTTGCCCTTTTTTAACCTACAAAACACAACACAACACAACTGGCTCACCCACAATATAAAAGCAACTGTGCTAGACCCAAAATGGCCCCTGCAACAAGCAGGAACCTCACACAGCCACAAAAAGCCCAAAAAAACAATTTTCACACTTTACACACATACAACACAACACAACACAACACAACTGGCTCACCCACAATGTAAAAGCAGCTGTGCTAGACCCAAAATGGCCCCTGCAACAAGCAGGAACCTCACACAGCCACAAAAAGCCCAAAAAACCAACTTTCACACTTTACACACACAAAATTCCACATACAGCTTTGTGAGATTTTGTGTGTTTGTGTAGTTAGAGTGAAACACTACAGGAACACACTAAATCTCAGAAAGCTGGACAAATATTATTTTATTTTAATTTATTTTAATTTTTATATAAAAGCAGCTAAATTTAAAACTTCCTAAACTTTAAATGGCTAAGTCTAAAAAAAGAACAACTAAAAAAAAAACCCAATTAACTATTTTTTTAAAGCTCCCAAAGGGGAAAAAACTTACCCAATAGAAAAGGGGTCTCCAACCTTGGCAACTTTAAGACTTGTAGACTTCAACTCCCAGAATTCCTCAGCCAGCTTTGCTTTGCTGGCTGAGGAATTCTGGGAGTTTAAGTCCACAACTCCCTGCCTGCTTGATTGCAGACAGGGAGATTCAGTTGCTTGCTGATGCAATGGATTGCAGGGATTACAGCAAGGCATTGCGACCAGCAGCTAAGGTAAGCAAACTGAGGGGGTGAGGGTGAGGGATTTTTGCTACTGATTAGCAGGCAACTCAGCTGGAATCGTCAGAGCTTGGCTCGTCAGAGCCATTTAAAAGAAAAAAAAGGCTCTGATGATCGTGCGGCTCAGCTGGGGATGGGGGACGGGGGCAGGGATTTTTGCTACCGGTTCTCCAAACTGCCCGCCACCATCGCTACTACTCGCTCAAGCCGGTCCGAACCGGGAGCATTTCACCCCGATTCATTCCCAATGTTTTCTCATATACTAGGTGTTGTGCCTTGTGATTTTTGATGAGTGTATTTTGTCTTTTGATGTACACTGAGAGCATATGCACCAAAGACAAATTCCTTGTGTGTCCAATCACACGTGGCCAATAAATAATTCTATTCTATTCTATTCTATTCTATTCTATTCTATTCTATTCTATTCTATTCTATTCTATTCTATTCACATATCAATTGTCAAGTTCGAAGTGCACTTATGCTGTTGCAACTATTGTCGCTTCTCAGGTTGCCAATAAACTAGTGGGGAGGTCTCCAGACATCAAGAAGACAAACCTTGAGAGCCAAGGACACTTCACCAGGTAGTTAAAATCCTTAGAAACACTTTCTCATAAAGATTCAACAACATTTAACTGGACAATGTGACCTGTACTAATAGGGGGAGGGAGAAGTTAATTATACAAGATTGCACGGGAATTAGCTAAAGCTGGTTTTGCCTTAATCTGTGACAAAATTATGTACTCAATAAAGTTTTGCAAGAAGAGTTTGGTTTGTCATGACTGTACTTGCTTGGTTGGGTGTGTCAGTTGGAACCTTGACATCAATTTTTAAACAGGTGAAGTATTTCCAAGACACAAGAATTTGTCACTTAAATTAAATTAATGACATAGAAAGTAGCTTCTCTTTTTTTCTCCCAAGGACACCCAGTATCTATATACAGCTAGAGACCTCTTACCAAGACTAACAGTAGAATATGAGAGAGGATGACACCCAAATCCACTGATTCGTCCAAATGTACCTGCAGACAACATAGAACAGAATAATTAAAATGACAGCGCCAATGTCAGAAATACTTCAGGCAGAGTGCTGAGTGATACTGCCTAAGAGAAAAAGTGACCAATCCAGCTTAGCGCTTCCTTTTCTTAGCTCAAGCATCAGTCAAATAAATGAATTCAACTTAAACTTAAATATAGGAACTGGATTTGGAAGATTTCAGATGGCTGTATTTCAGTAGTACATTCAGTAGCATCCACGTGGCAGTCGAAACAGACAACACATAGGGCCACAGCATCACAAAGTCCTGCCCATTTTGTACATGTGTCAACACATATACAAAGGGATGGTACTTTGATCACAACACTGCAGCTGCTGTCTTGCCTGTTTTATTTCTTTCCCTTTTTATGCCCTCAATTTTGTATAAGTGATTCTAATAAATTGATATTATTTTTCATTTTCAAGAATATGACCCTCAGAATTAGCTGTTCCTCACATTTCTTTCAGAATTTACCTTTTAGTCCCACAATACCACAGAAAGAAGCTGGGATCCTCACAGAACCACCTCCATCTGTACCAATAGCCAGTGGACAGAGGCCTAAAGAGAAATGGAATTAAGAGAAAATTCCATTAAATAAAATTATTTTCTCCATCATTTTCCCCACTGCCTAATCTGAACAAAAACTTGAAATGTTGCTGTAATTTGGTTTGGGTTTTCAACTCCACTCTCAATGCTTTCATCTGTAATACTAGTCTTACCTGCAGCCACTGCTGCTGCTGATCCACTAGAACTACCACCAGTAAAATGCTGGGGATTGTATGGATTTCTAGTAGTGCCATGATATCTAGAAATAAAATAAATAGGCATTTTGAAGGCCATCGTAATGAAGGCTGGTGAGGAGGAAAGAAAGTATCTTTATATGTTAAAGAAATTAGACTGCAGTCTGCCACAAGCAAAACTAAAATTGCATCTGCTGCCAGGTCTGAGAGAGGGGAGGAGGGGCAGGAATAATGGAGACAGGAGAGTTGGAGAAAAAGATCCTGAGTACAGAACTGAAAACACAGCACTGGCAAACTATCAGAGTAGGAGGAAGCAGTCAAGTCTAGTTTGTACTGTTACTGATTGCTCCAAAACTACTATAATTCCATTCTTTTAGCATTATAAAGCCGCATTTCTCCCTTTTGCTTGCCTATAGGTACACAGAAAAGACAGCTCAATTCAGAAAGGCACTACTGCTACCAAGAAAGAAGGAAAGTATCCTTCAGGGAAGCTTATTCAGCACAAAAATTCAAAGAGTTGCCATGCTTTTTCTTTTTTCTGGAAACAATGTAACTACTCAGTGGTACTTTTAAATCTTTTTTCTCTCACCTTCCATGCTTCCATACTCCCATCCCAATAAGCTTTCATTACACTATTTTAGCATTCAAGATGTCAAAAAGCTTAATCATTTTTCTGTCTTTTCTAGCTTTCACAAGAAACAGTTTGAATGAAAATGCATTTAGTGAATACATACTATTTTACCTATTGGGATTACATCCAGTGGTCCCAATACCCAATTCATGCATGTTCGAGACGCCAATGATAATGGCACCAGCCTCCCGTAGTTTCTTTGTCACAGTGGCATCTTCAGTCTCCGGCTTTGTGCCCAAGTATACAGTTCCACTTCGGTGGTGATAGGGCACCTTATAAATATACCAAAAAGTATTTTGTGATAGGATTCTTTATAAATACAACCCAGTACTATAGATCGTTTATTCCTGCCTCAAGGGAATCCAATGGCAATAAACCACACAGAACACAATTTCATAAGAAAATGCATTCTTTTATAATCAAGCCCAGTTCTTCTCTTTGGGGAAGAAGTTCCTCTCAAGCCAAATTGACCCCCCTCCATCTGAAAGCCCCCCTGCAATCCCATCTAGACTAAAAAACAGAAGTCTCCTTATCACTCACAGCTTAGCCCAAGGGCCACCCTTATAAGGAAATTAGTGAAACTCAAACTTTCCATCTTCTTATCAGCTGGTGATCTCATCATTTCACCTTGTTCACAATTAATTTCCCAGCTCTTTTGCCCTCATGAAAGGCCCAATTTGCCTAATGGACCTCACTCAGATGAGGATGTGCGTAACTTTCCCAAACTGGCCAGCTAATGAGATTTCTAGGATTTCTTGCCTTGCATCCAACAATTTCTATTAAAAAAATCTTTACTTTTCCATTGTTCAAAATCCATCTTGTAAAGCAGACACGCAATGATCATTACAACAAACATGGTTCTTCTCCTGAGTGTTGTGCTCCCTACTTTGCCAAATTCCACAACATAGCAAACTCATTGTAATGTGCAGCATATTACTTTGACAGTCTCTTAATGTATAACTGTGTATAACAATGATAAGTAGCAACCATTGATAGTTTATCCTCCATGAATTCTTCCTATTTTTTAAAAAAATCTCTTCAAGTTGGTGATTGTCATTACATCTTTTGATAGCAAATTTCACAATATGCCTCAGAGCCTATGTAAGGCATAGAACTTCTACAAATTGGTTATCATTAATTTTTAATATGGCAAAAATGAACATTATATAGATAAAGCAAATGTCTATTAATAGCATATAATTATATAAAATTTAGAGGTTTTGTCCTAGCCGTTCTCATCTCTATCCTCTTTTTGAAATAAAGCCATTAAACCAAAATGACTGTGAACCAATGATTTAAGAACTTTTTATCAGTCTCCCTCTGTTCGACTTCATTGAATAATATTGATTTTCACTATTATAAAACAGCATTTTCATACATCTGAATACATCTGTATTCTTTATTGCTTTAAAATGAACTTTGAAACATTTCTTCATAAGGGACTTACTTTACTCTCTTGATCATTTTGGATTCCTTTTTCTGCTCCCTTTCTAGTTCTTCAACATCTTGAGATGTAGCAAGAACGATACATGGTATTTCAAATTTCTTGCATTGTATTTTAGTATACAGATATTATAGTATTGATATTAATGCAAGGTACAAAACAACTGATAGTATTAAGGTGCTGTTATACTTTCTTAATATTTCTTTCCTATACCCTCAATATGATATTTGTTTTTCTTTTTAACAACACTGAGCATAAAAAAAGTGAAGTGTGTATACCACTTTAATTTCTTCTTTTAAGCACACTGGAATTCCATCCAAGAGTGAGAGAGGCTGTTTGCTTCTGTAACGAGCTGTGGATTCCTCAGCCATCTAAGCAAAGAGAGATTTGTGAAATAAACCACATAATTATTCTATAGAAATAGTACTTTAAACAAGTAAACTAAAGAATCTCACTCTGAAATCCAAATCAGAGAACTTCAGCACAAGACAGGAGACTCTTTCTCCAACCCCTGTAATAACACAATTTAGAGAATACCTTTTTCAAGAAACAAGTAATACTCCTCTCACTGAACACACCTTGATTATCTCCTCCTCATTCCACTGAGCAATTGCCTGGAGGTTAGGATCAACTTTCCCAACTTCTTTCAGAGCAGCAACAATGTTCTTGGCAACTTGTCGGGGTGTTACCATTCCAGATCTAGTCAACAGTCAAAATGGAAGTTGTTGCATTTCCACTCTATTGTCAGGTTCATGCTGATGTCACTAGTAACCCTGAATGGTAAGATTTCAAGTGCACAGCCCCAAGTTCTTTAAAAGGAATGCTTAGTAAATCAAGGCTTTCTGAGTCCTATACTACTGAATCATTTGTGCTGTAATGAACCAGAATGGTTACGCCATGTAACCATTCAAACCAAACAAAACAGCTATGTTTTCATTCATGCAATATGCTAAGTAAAGCCAATCAATTCACATTATGGCTCAGGTATTCTGGCATTGTTTACTTATGATTCTTAGGATGAGTGAACCATATCAGTTAGCTAGCTCAGTTATTTGGGAATTGAGTGGCTGAGAAATGTGAGAATTAAATTAATTTCGACCAGATATATGTTCTTGAATCAGACTGAGGAAAAACATGATCTTATTCCATCTTATGTGATTATGCATAATAATAATTGATTGGCCCCTATATGAATCACAAAATCATTCCTCACCCCTGGAATGGTATTCCAAAGTAAATTTAAAATCAAGAACCATAGTTTGCCTGAAACATATGAAGCATGGAGATACTGGAAATGATTATTCAATTATGTGCATGAACAAAGATAAAGAAAAACAGTTAACTCCACAACAGAAACAGTCACACCTGCTCATGCTAAAGGTATCTTTATGGAAAATACAAACAATGCTTATATTTCTCCATTTGTTCTGGAATGGAGTGAAAAGTATGAACAAAATTGGTCCCAAGCTACTGTTTTGTCAATCAAGAAAAAGAAAAACCCAAGAACAAACATATTCTTTTTTTTTAAAAAAAGTATTGAATTCCTTACCTATAGCATTTCAAGTAGTCCTGAATCCCTTTAAATCTGAAAGCAGAACTTGCAGAACATGAACTGTGACATAAAAAGGAACAATAAAGATTCATGGATAATCTGAAAAGAGTAAAATGTCAACTGAAAAGTATAAAGGCCCTTTTCTAATCTTCCTTTTAGAAGCAACCATCTAAGATTGGTAATCTTTCATTATTACTCATCCAGTTTGGCTGGATATGGCTCCATTTCTTTCTCAAATGCCACATCCTACTGGTGAGAGCTGTTGTGAAGAGAGGCAGAAGCCCATACTGCTCAATTCCATTTTTCCTATCATTTCCTTGATCATTTCTTTTTCCTAACAAAAAATGATAATCACTAGGAACAACAATGGAAAAAATGTTTTCATTTCCAATTCTGAATTCAAAATATACAATTTGTTCAACATTTAAGACTCCAATCAGGAATTCCAGAGTTCCATTAATTTTAAAACAATAATGCAGTGGAAACAGAAAACTACATATCTCCCTTTATGAATGCTCAATACTTGCTATAATTTGTGGATACATTGCACTCCCACAACTGAAGTTTACAGAGCCATTGCTTTCAAGTGTTTGCAACTATATCTTTCCTACCCCTTAAATTACACACATGCCTTGATTCCATCAAACTCTGGAGAATTGCTGAGACATTTTTTGATTCTGACTTGTGCTCTTTTCTTTCTGAAGCCATCAATGGCACGAAAGTAGGATCTTCAGGAATATCAAGGTAGCGTAGAGCAGTAAAATTGTTCATCCTGGAAAAAGTGCATTATCATTACATTAACTTGAGAAAGTTTTTAAAAATTCAGTCAAGCACTAATTTAAAATTGTTTTCTAATGATAGCTTTTCCCCCCTACCTTAGTGTACTGCCATTTCCGGCAAAGTTTTCCATTAATAAAATTATGCTAAATGTATCCTAAATGCTGTCAAAAAAGTTGCATTACTGGAACTGATCAGATATGCACACCATGGTCTAGAGACAATAGATTTCCTAATATTGTGTCAGCAACTGTGGCCTCAGAAGAAAGTGGTCTGCTATGCAGACAAAAGGCAACTGTACGGTACATTTAGGGAGGACCACCTTGAATCTGAAGGAGCCAGCCACAGTTGCCAGTAAAATGTCAGGAAATCTGTTGTCTAAAGCACAGTTACTAAATCCTGAAACTCAAAACTGCTTAACAAATATCAGCTGTGAAAGCCAGAAGATCAATTTATATACATAACTTCTATGTTTTCCTCTGTGAAGAAATGCAGGAAAAAAGTCAGCCAGAACATATACAGGTAGTCCTTCAACTATATTGGCAATTGGGAGCAGGATTGCCATTGCTAAGCGATGTGCTCATTAATTGCGATTATTACATGACTACATTGCTTAGTGATCATTCAGATGAACCTGGTTGTCATCACAACCCCAAGATATGTGGCTTATTAAGCAGGAAGCAGAGAGAGACACAGGTAAGGAGCAAAGGGGTAGGCTGTGGGGGAAGAATCCCCAGGACACCTGGTGTAGGCCACATGCATATTTGGGGTATAGGAATACAGCATAAACTTGGGGAGACCAGGAAAAGAGGGTGTGGGGCATAGACATGTGAGCATAGGAGGATGGAGAAAGAAGGAACTGCATGCTTCTGAGTGTGCAAGCATAGGGAAGAAGGAGACTGAGGAAAGAGGGTGCCACTTGTCTGTGTGTGAATTGTCAGTGTATAAGAAATTATGAGCTGGAATAGCCATAACAAGTCAGCCAATGGGACAATGGTGGGATTCAAAATTTTTTACCGGTTCTGTGGGTGTGGCTTGGTGAGCGTGGCTTGGTGGGCGGGTCATGTGACTGAGTGGGCATGGCCAACTCACCGACACTCACAGCATGATGGGGTGACACCCCCCACAAGCCACACCCACAGAACCAGAGAAAAGGCAGTTCCTGCAGCTTGTCCCTTTAGGGTGTCTTCCTCATCTGCATCGAAGTACTTTAAAGGGACACTAGAGTCCGGCTGCCTTCTGAGCAGCTCTGCTGCAATGCTGTCCTTCCGGCACTGCAGGCCGTTCTCCTGGCCGGGTCTGGCAATGGGGTGCCGCCGCACACACGCACTGACAGGCCTCTTTTTTGGCCTGTGGTTTTCGGTGCAAGAAGCCTCCACTGCCACTGCTGGAGCGGTGGTTGGAGGCTTCTCGCACCGAAAAAGAGGCAGCGGCTGCAGGCTTCTTGTGCCGAAAACTACAGGCCAAAAAAGAGGCCTCAAGTTCTGTCGCTGCAGTCCTCTTCTTCCCGCCAGCTGCACACACTCACAACATTGCCTGCTGGTGCTGTTCGCAGCCAGACCCGGCCAGGAGAATGGCCTGTTGAGCTGGAGGGATGGTGTCGCAGCGGAGCTACTTGAAAGGCAACCAAAAACTACCGGCGGCTGGAGGCTCGCCAACCAAGCCTCATCAGTCCCAAGGTGTGGACAAAGGTGGGCAAGGTGGAGGGTGAGCGGGGTGGGCGGCATGCGGACGGCTCGCGGAAGGCCAGAGCCAGGGAATGGCACATTCCTCAATCCGGCCAAGGCAAACGGCAAGCAGGCGGGGCCTCTGGGGCGAGGCCAGAGAATGGCATGTTTCCCCAACTCAGCCAAAGCAAACAGCAAGCAGGCAGAGAAGCAAGGCCAGAGCCAAGGAATGGCGGGTTCCCTGACCCGGCCAAGGCAAATGGCGAGGAGGTAGAGGGTCTGGGGCCTCAGGGAATGGCGCATCCCTGGGCCCCGACCTGAGGCGAGGGCGAGCGGGCGGCATGCTTACCTTTGGTGAGCAGAGTGGGTGAGGCGCGGAGGCAAGGCGAGGCAATTAGCTGGGCCACATGGAGAAGACAACATATATAGGGTGGCCGGGTGGGGTGGGAGTGGGAGGAGTGGGCAGGGCAGGGCAGGGCGAGCAGGTGGGCGAGTGAGCTGCGGGTGGGCGGGGCCAGCCAGAGGTGGTATTTGCCAGTTCAGCAAACCAGTTAAAATTTCCGCTACCGGTTTGCCTGAACCAGTCTGAATCTGCTTAATATCACCTCTGCAATGGGAACTGTTTGATGACTAAGAAACAGAATCTGTTGTGAGCCATGAGAAACTGCTAGAAGCCTGGTCATGGCTTAGCTTAACTGGTCTGTATATAAGAGTAGCTTCAGTGATTCTGTGATTCTGTGACTTCTGTGCTTCTGTGATTTCTGGATTCTAGCTTCTTGTCCTTGTACTTGCTATCACGTTTCAAGAGTTGCATGGGTATTGTATAAATGCACCGTGTTTTATATTATTGTATACAAACAAGTTTCTTCTATAAATGAATCCTTCTGAATTATTTACTTGTGTGCTGGTTGGATCCCTGCAAACTCTGACAGGTTTTGGGCCCAGAACACACGAAGCACACAGTAAGACTGAACTGTAATTAAGCTGAAGGACAGGCTGTGTTATAAGAAAAAGAGAACAAGGCTGAGAAGGCTTGCAGGATGGCTGTTGAGTTCAAGGAGAGCTCTCTGCCTCGATTGGGACAGAAGAATTATATTATTTGGGCTGCAAAAATGGAATGCTTCCTGAAGGCTAATGATATTGTTATTAATTCACCCCAGGCACCATTAGCAGCAGCAGATCAAAAGGCAGCATAAGAAGATACTGACCTACATAATCTTAACTTTAGAAGATGAACAATTCTTGAATATAGCTGATTTAAAAACTGTAAAGGTGGTTTGGCTGAAATTGAGAAGTGTGCATGTGAGTGCATCAGCATGAAATATTGTGCAATTATCGAGACAATTATACAGAGCCCGGCTACCACAAGAGAGTGTAGAGAAGCATTTGCTACACATGCAGACTTTATTTATTGAGTTGGAACAGCGTGGAATGCAGATTCCTGAATCTCAGAAGGTGCTGTTGGTGTTAAATTGTCTTGATAAAACGTGGGACATTGTTTCAGCCGTTTTTGAGTGCAAACCACAATGAAAGCCCTTAAAGCCTGTTTGATTTCTAAAGAAAACAAACACCATTTTAGAAGAAGCCATGAGGAGAAATTCCTTAGGTGGGGGCCCAAGGAGCAGAGAGAGAAACAGACAGGATGTCTGCAAAGACCAGAGTAATAGAAGAGATCAGATTACAGCCCAGCTAAGATTTTCTAAGAAGAAAGAAACAGAACAGCAACAACAGTAGTGTTTCATCTGTGGTGGTAAGACCAGTGGTGGGATTCAGCCGGTCCTGTCCAGTTCGCCCAAACTGGTAACATTGCACACCCGGCCACGCCCTTTGCCCCTCCCAGCCACGCCAGCACTTCTTGTAGCACTGAGCTGCTTGCCTTTTTAAATCCAGCACTGCTGCTGAGCCCAAGCAGTCTTGAAATCTAAGAGCGCTGGATTTCAAAATAAAAGCCAAGGAGCTCAGTGCTACAAGGAGAAGAAGTTCCAGGAACCCACAGTTGCTGGAGCTGAACAGCCAGGCTTTAAAGCATTTTAAAGTAGCCTGGAGCAAGAATCCCTCCCTCTCTCACCCCACCCCACCCCATCTGCGACTATCCCATTTGGAAGATATTGAGTTTTGCTTTTGCTGACTACCTCCTCCATGTTTCCTAAATGAGGTAGATCGAGTGGCTGTTGGGTTTGGATGTGAAATTAAGCCTCCTTCCTATTGAAGGGAAACAATAATAAGGATATAATAAATAATACTAGAATATGATATACTGGTATACTAGATTCTGTAACCATTAGGTTCCTGTAATACATATATGCCTTTGTATTTGTATCACATATATTATTCCTTTCTATTTGTATCTCCTGTTACAAACATATTGTCATTAAGCCTTTGAAATGTATCTGGTATTTGTCAAACGTATGTCCCTGCCATTTGACCTGAACTCATATCAATCTCTTTCTCTGCCATCTAAAAGCACGGTACGTATCTCAGTTGAAACCACAGCCATCAATAAAGGGATAATTTACACCTCAGTCCTAATTTATGCTTGATCTGGATAAAATCTGGTCTTCCAGAGACAGGGGCTAAGTAGCCAATTAAGTAAACAAAGAAATGCTTAAGGTAAGACTAATTGGAAGTTTAGATTCCTTTGCAGGGCAACAAGGAATACACAAACCTAAATTAGGAGGCCAGAATTGGATACTAAGCTGACGTCTCTGAGGGTATAAAAGGACGCCATACCTTCCCCAAGGTGTGGCTATTTCCTCGCATGCATTGTATCTGTATGTTCTGGATATAGTTCCATCCAGTATTTTGTTTTTGGCCATAAATAAAATCTGGTTTTTTTGCAAGCCTCGTCTTGAGTCTCTCTCTCTTTGGCATTCTGGTGACTCAAGTGTATTTTGGGACCTTACATTTCTGGTGCCCGAACAGGGACTTGAAGGCAAAGTTTCTTCGAGGTGGCTGCATTCAGCTTCCCACAAATTGAGCCGCTTTGAGGCTTGGTGGCCTTCATTATAGGCAGACGGAAGAAACCAGCTTGGACCAGTACCGAAGTCAAGAGCGCTCCTGGAAAAATTTATCCAGTGATTTTGATCTGGTCATTTGCTGGCAGGCTCCGATCCTGCCTGCCCTGAACACCTAACGAAGAGGCTTGCACTGTGGGGGGTTATGGAACTCAGCTCTTCTGGGTGAGTATATTTTTTTTTTCTCTTGGGAAGGGGAGTGTTGCTTTGTGAGTGAGTGAATGAGACGAGGGAAATTCCTCAGAGGTTTGCCCTCAAAGCGATGTGCGGAGATCCAATCTGCGTTTCTGATTATCCGAGAGGAGATCAGCCAG